CCTCTGCTGCTGACCGGTGAGATGCATTAGATCTATGTAGGAAACATCTTGAATCAAAGTCAGCATCTAGATCAACGTCTCAGAGTACATGGGCACGTGCTGATTTGGCATGTGTCTTATTACAGCTGCCTAGTCTTCTAGCTCTCTAGTCCCCGAGACACACTGCACGATTTTAGCAATCCTATAAGATCACTGCATGTCACACTGTGCGACTTGGATCTAATAAACTTGGCTACGACATGCATGCAGACTGTACGATGATGACACCTATTGACTCGTAGGCTACGACGCATGTTACTATAAAAGAATAAAACGTCATCAGCATTGCGCTAGTGGTAAACAAAATCGTGCAGTGTGTTTAGAGCATTCGAGAAGGAATTCAGCCCCACACGCCTCAGTCTTAGATGGACAGCATCATCAAATGGAGAAGAATTTCTCGAATAACCACTTCTGACTGCAATAGTTGCATTATGTTACAGAGCTGCATGGACACCGCCTTCATTTCCATATTGAGGCATCTTGCTAGGTGTTCTACATTAGGCCCTTTTTGCATTTTGCAGCGGAATCTTTATGGTGATGTCACGCAGTATCCCAGCACAACAGACAGGAGGAGTTATGCAAATCAGGCAGACTCTAAAATAGACCCAATATTAAAGGTGCAGTGCGAAACAGCCTTCCCTCACACACACCTCTGTACGCAACAATCAAACCACGCAGCTGACTAACCTGACCTCAAACCCAGGAGGCTAAAAGAATGAGAAATGAAACATCTTAAGTGCTGAACAAAAAGCCTTCCGAACAGTTTCCCTGCGAACAGGCAACATTCCCAGAACTCTGTAAGATTCTCTTCAAAGTTATGAACACGTTCTTCCAATAATGTTAACAGAATATTCATTCAAAAGTTATCTGGTCTTTAAGAGCATCCTCAAACATTAGCACAAAAACATTTGTTTAGAGTATACATTGTGTATATACATACACACCAATTTTTAATTTTTTATTTTTTTTTTTAACTTTTTAGTTGGATGTTCATCTGCATTTTTATTAAACATAACTAACTTAACTACTTGTTTCAGAACGTTCAGAGAACATTCAGAATAACATTCCTATAACGTTTGCAAAATTATTTAAAAAATGTAATGTCCATTTAATGTTTTCTGTAACATTAGCATAACCAAGAAAAAACTTTTTGAAACACATTTTAGGAGATTCAAAAGTACATTTTTTTTATTATTATTATTTTTTTTTATAAGTGTTACATAAAAACTTTTTTATACTTTTGTTAGCTATGTTGCTCCACACAAAAAAAACAAACAAACAAAAAAAAATACTTACTTGGCCGACAATTCATGAATTATGCTTGCAGGCAGCTATAGACGACACTGACATTTCCACTTCAGCAAATAAATCACACGTGTTACAGCAAATAAAAGATGACCGTAAAATTGCAACACACATAAGGAAATGGAATGTTCCACAGAAAACTTCCATCACTTCCCATTTTTAGGGCATTCCAGTGCGAGTAATAGTAATAGTGAGTAATAATGCGACACTTTGCATTATTCCTTTAAACAACACAAGGAAAGAGTCAACAGGAATGTTGGTCTGCAGTCAATAAGCAAACAGACCATTCACTTCCTTAATTCATGTTTCTGGTATTACTGTGCATGATTCATTGAGGCAAAACATCCTATCAAGTCTTATATGTTATTTCCTCATCCTGATTTACTCTGAAATATGCCACATTATAAAAGTTCTATCAACTATTTTTCTCATTTTGACTAGAAACAAATCTTCAGTGCTGTATCCTGTGAGCTGGAGATCATGTTGATCAGGCACGTGCACACATAGACATCAGAGGGGGCTTGAGCACCTGCCCTTTTTCCTCCTTGAGAGAAAGTGCCCTTTTTTCTGGGGAGTTTTTCTTTGTTTTTAATAAACGAATATATGTGTGCGTGTGTTTCTGTTTGCGCACAGCTTTCCCTGTCAAACAAATAAAAAAATCAAAATATGAGGTCGGGTCAGGAAATGTTGAGACACAGTCGAGTTCCGATGCCTTTCTCCCTCTGCGTCTCCACGCAACACAGCAGTGTAGCACACATTGATCAGCTGCACATCACATCGCTGACAGGCAGAGAGCCGCAGAAGTGAAGCCCTCCCTCCCTTTCCAGTTGTGCTTGTCTTGGTGTGGAGGTGAGTGGTGATGAACAAAAGACTAAGCAACCTGTGCTTCGAATTTACAGCTAATTATCCTATCCATGACTCATGAGAGCGACCAAGTTAGCTAAAGTTTAGCTAAGGCAATAGGAAGTCTAGTAGGTTAGACCAGTGCGCGTTCTTTCACTGCATGATTCAGTTTATTAAAATGCATTTAGAATGATCACAAAATTCAAGATATGGGGGCAGAAATGTATATATTTATATAATTTCATATAGTTAATCAGCATCACGCAAAGACTGACGTTTTTTCCACCAAAAAGCAACATGAGAAATGTGATATTGATTTTATACAGCAGTTCAATAAACAATAATTTAATATTAAGACACTTACGTTTTAGACACAATATTGACTTTTTTGCTCTAGTTCGCCAACAAATATAATTATCTGAGCAACATGACGCTGTTTCGTTCCTGAATGAATCACCCGTTTAAATGATTCGGTTCAATCGCAATGACTCACTAATTAACAGTGACTTGCTGCCACCTACTGGCAGTTTTAGTTTCACATTTAAAATATCTTTTCATTGTTTAAAATAATTTCAAATATCAGTATTCAACGTTTTATGTTTAAAATATCAAAACAGTATTAATGCAAGCACTTTGGGCAGGCTACTGGCTGGACTGTCGCCCGTTAAACTACTGTAACAGCAGGAAGGTTCAAAATAGCATGCTGCCTTAGCACTCAAATGCTTTCTGCAGTATGAAGTACACTACCAGTCACAGTGTCGGACACACTTGACACTTGATTTTATGTTTCTCATAATCTTTTGGTCAAAAGCTTCTGCTGGCATACAAACAGAACTGGAACACCGTAACCCACAATGCAATGCACTCAACAAACAAGCCGGCAGTAACATCACAAACAATGACAACATCTCCTTCTTGACTCATTAGTTGATCAGATTGGGGGAAAAAAAAGCTATTTATGTCCAAAATGAAAACATAGGCTATAACTCATGTACAGTATCTATCAAGTATTTGAGGTCAGTAAGATATATGTGACCCTGGAGCACAAAAGCAGTCTTAAGTCGCTGGGGTATATTTGTAGCAATAGCCAACAATACATTGTATGGGTCAAAATTATAATTTTTTTTCCTTTTATGCCACAAATCACTAGAATATTATGTAAAGCTCATGTTCCATGAAGATATTTAGCAAATTTCCTACCATAAATATATTAAAACGTAATTTTTGATTAGTAATATGCATTGCTAAGAACTTAATTTGGACAACTTTAAAGGTGATTT